CCTAACCCTCTAAGCCCTAAGCCCTCTAAGCCCCAACCCCAAAACCGGAGGGATCTAGGGTTCCTTCAAGGTACCCCTTAGTACTAGGGTTTAGGGTTTAGGGTTTAGGGTTCAGGGTTTAGGTTTGGGGTTTAGGGTTTACCTATAGTCTCCAGTGTGGTTCCTTTTTTTGGTGTAACCAATTATATATTAAGGATTCTATAAGGTATCCCCAAAAAGGAACTACAATGGAGACTATAGGTAGGGTCTAGGATTTAAAACTGAGAGCACTTTTAACACTAAGCCCATGTCAACCAGAGAACCCCGTCTTACAGAACCCCAGGTCCAACACAGGCCCTCTAACATGCACCCTTGTCTAATGCCAAACCGTGTCAAAAAGATAAAGTTTAAAAAAGCACACAACAAAGGTCTCTCGAACAAAACTGTACCCAAATACAGATACACATACGCGCATATAGTATAGTATATGTGTGCACATATTGCTTGAACATGTTATATTATAGTTTAAACTGACACATGTCCTTGTTTGTAAACACTTACTCACGCATGTGCCTGTATCCGTTTCTGGTTCTCTCTTTCTCTCTGTCCCCGTTCCCCTCAGGCCATGCTAAGAAACAGGCGCACCCTCACTGCCACTCGCTAGCACTCAAGGTTCAGGGTTTAGGGTTTAGGGGTTTAGGGGTTTAGGGTTTTGGTTTAGGGTTTAAGAGTTTAGGCTTTAGGGTTTAGGGTTCAGAGTGCAGGATCCCGAAGACATCTTAGAACAGGACATCCTGCACCAAAGCCTCCCAAGCTCCCGGCCCCCATGGGCACCAAAACTCCCTAAACCCTACAATTCCAAAAGCTCTCACCCATCAGCCTCCTCTAGAAACCTGCTGCAGATCCCTGGCATCCCTTTTGAAGCTGGAACTCTCTGATGCTCTAGAAGTGGCCATCCCTAAACCCTACACCCGAAACACTAAACCGACTTATCTATACCAAAGGTATATAGCCAGGTAGTCTCCATATTAACCCCAATAACCTACAAGGGTCCCTATTAAGGGTCCCTCCTAAAGCCCTTAGAACTTAACCCCAAGGGCCCCCATAAGTTGAGAGGCTTTTCTGCCCCGGCGTCTGCGGCCTCCTGGTGTCCGCGAGCTCTTTTTCGGAGGTTGCGGATTTAGGATTTAGGATCGTTTTCATGAACTCTTCTTCGGGTTTCGGATGTAGGATGTAGGTATCTTTTGCTTTGTGGTTTTGTGTTGTGGGTGCTTGTGTGAAACTCTCTGATGGGTGCAGGGGTTTGGGGTTCAACAGTAAGGGCCTGTCCCGGGGACCTTGGCTGCGGTAGGGTCTTACAACGCAGCGGAAGATCCCTCATTCAGCTGGTTTTCCAGGGATCCTGACCCAGAGAACCCAATACCCCTTAATTAAGGAATATACCTTAAATTATAGGGCCTTAATATTATAGTTTAAGGTATATTCCTTAATTAAAGGGTATTGGGTTCTCTGGGGAGGGTGAGGTGACGGGGTGTGGGGTTCGCACGGGTTGCGGATCCGACTACGTGTCTTAAGGTGGCGAAGCATAGAACTTGCTTTCTGCGTAGTGGCTTCGAGTTCGGTGTCGGAGCACAGCAGTGTGCGTGGCAGCTCGGGGTTGGAGCTTTGGGTTTTCACCTATATAGTAGAATGTAGGGTTTCTATATTAGGAATTGTTATTATGATTTGGGAAAGTATCCCCCATAACAGTATCTAGGACCCCTTTGGAAGTAGTAACGGCAAAGGCTTCAGTTGCTGCTGCCTCAGTCGGTGCCGCCGGTGCTGCTGGCACAGCATCTGCACCTCGGCTATTTGCGGTCTGTCTAACTTCGTGGGCTCCAGAGTTACAGTTTCAGAAGCATGGTGTAGGGGCCCTACTTCGTAGAATAAGGTTTTGGGTCATGTTGTACTATCCCTGACAATTTCAGCCCCGAAAGGTTAAGGGTTACCTATTCAGCCGCTAAAAAAACCCTCAACCCCTGCAACAACCACGAAGCCCTGAACCCCAAACCCTTTTTTGAACCCAGGCTACCCTAAACCCCAAACCCCAAACCCTAAGCCCTAAACCCCAAACCCTAAGCCCGAAACCCAAAGCCTTAAAGATCAGTTCTGTCTTGGCCAGGGGAAACGGGCGGGCAGGTCCCTCGGCGATGGTCCATGCTGCCAAGACGGGTCCGGGGCTCAGCAAACAAGCAAAGGCTTTAAGGGTTTAGGGTTGAGGTTTTAAGGTTTATAAGGTCTAGGGCTAGGGTTTAGGGTTTAGGGTTTAGGTTTCGGGTTTGGGGTTCCCTAACCCCCTAAACGCTGCCGTGATGGCAGCTAGTCGGTAGTTGTGCTCCGTCTGGGCGACTCCAAAGTACAACTCAAGGGATGCCAAACAATAAACAGCCCCAAACCCTAAAACTCCTGAAATCCTATACTATACACTGCCCCTAAACCCTAAACCCTAAACCCTAAACCGCTGAAGCCCTTTGTCTATACACTCAGCTCTGGAGCCCTGATAGCAAAGCCAAACTTGAACACACCTCCTCAAGCAAATGAAGTCGAAGCCCAAACTAGTCGAGTCTTACAACCCCCGAAGCTGACAACCACAACAACCAACCCCTCAAGCCCCGAAGACATTCAGAAGAAAAAACGAGACATCTCTAAGCCGCCGTTTAGAGCTTTATTGGGCTTAGGGTTTAGGGAGTATTGGGTTGGGTGTTCTATAGGGTATATCTGCATGCACAGGTGCCAGCAGTCGCATCTTTCTCGGCCCCCTCTGCAGGGGCAGCCGCGGCCTCCGCAGGCCTCGGAAAGGACACAGCCCTGCCTCAACCGAGCGCTGGCCCCTGCACTCACCCTTCACCCTGAATGCCGTCGCCATGCGATTCTAAACCGACCCGGGTAGCAGCTCTCGGCACTTTGTAATTCTGAAACACAGAACGGCTTTCGAGGACCATCGTGGCGCTAAACCCCGGGACGGCCTGCTGTAGTAGTCCGAAATTTGGATGTCGTCGTTGCTGCTTCGGTTGCGCCCCAGACTATGAATATGCTGACGGTGTAGCAGTAGTGATGATAGCGATGCGCCGGGTGGCTATTGTGCTTGCGACGATGAAAAATGGCGTTGGTGATAGTGATGGTGGCGGCAGCCGTGGTGGTGGGGGTGGTCGTGGAGGTGGGGGAGGTAAATCATAGCGATGGCCGGGGCGGCGACGATGCAGAGGATGTTAGCCTGGTCATGTTGGTAGGCGCCATCGTCAGGGATCTTTTTCCGATACGAGCCATGCATACTGCCACTCACCCATTGTAGCCGACTATGTGTGCAGATGCATCTTTGACTGTACTGCCATGTCTAGCTCTACGTAGGACAACTTCACTGTAACCAACCCCAATTGTTCCCGTACCTCTCCTGATTGACGCTCGCTTCTTGTTGAAAGTGAGATGCCGTCGAAGGCCAGTTGCGAAGCACCCGCCTCACACCCTGACATGATAGTGATGACGGTGATGCTACATGGGCAGCTTTCTAAAACTAGGGTCCTTTTTGGAATCCTTGTTTATAAAGCATGCCATAATATATTCGGACCTAATTTAGAGAACTACCCATATTATCAATGAAAGCCCCCACAAACCGAGACCCGAAGCCACGGGCCGAAAATCGACCAAAAGCCTAAACCCCGGGACTACCTATAGTCTCCATTGTAGTTCCTTTTTGGGGTTTAACCAAATATATGTTAAGGATTCTATAAGGTATCCCCAACAAGGAACTACAATGCAGACTATAGGTAAACCCCAAACTCCTAAGATGAGGCTGCCGAGCAGCTTCTCTTCCCCGGCGGCTGTGCCCTCCTCGCAGCAGCTGTGATCTCTATCTCTGACCAGGTCTTTTGGGTTGGGATTTAGGGGTGGGGCGGTTTGGGGCTGTTGAAGAGGGCTCGCATTATCGG